CTCTCCAAGAGACACTGGCTCCTGACCCTGACACCGCGCTGCAAGCGCTCATCCGCTGCTTGATACGCCAGTAGCAGGGCAAGTGGCAGCACGAGGAGGACGAAGCGCGCTTGAGGAGTCGCTGCCGAATCAAAGCTGGCGCGCGAACGACAATGTCAGCACGGCCTTGTTGACACTGGCGACACTGGCACAATGAGAACCATTGACACTGACCTCCTTCTGGAGCAGTTGAAACCTCAGGCGCCACTGGTCAGAGTTCTGCAAGTCCGGCACCAGCGCATGTTTGACACCGACACTGCCGAAAATGTCATTCCAATAGTCTTGTAAAGTCTGTTGGAGTGACACTGGCAGGGATGCCCTTCTAATCTGATGCGCGCGGTCCAAGAACAGGACTCGGACACTGACAAAGGAGCGCTGAAGGATGGCAACGCACTTCCCACTGGCCCGGCGGCCGTCTGAGGCCACTGTCCAGAGGTTGCTGCGAAACGCAGCAACGCAAGCCTCCTTGGGCTCCGAAGAGCCCAGTGGTGTTGCGAGGCGCTGGATAGCCTTTGACACTGACTCGGCCATGCGGGCGGAGTAGTCCTCATCCAGTTCCCTGACATCCATGTTGGTGACACTGTCAGTGCCGTGACGTAACAGAGCTAGAACTCCTTCACGAGTGCTGGGCCGTTCTTCCTGGGCGTCTTGGGCTTGGAAACTGACACGAAACCGCAGCAGCCGGTATGGGGCTTTGTCGTCCACAGCGAAACAGATGTGGCTGGCCTTTTCAATCCATGCGAACAATTTCCGCCATGACACTGACGAGCTTTTTCATGCTGAGTCTCGTGACCTTGCATTTTCGATTGGAAATGTAAGAATCGTTTTCCGACTGCTTCTCGCCCTTGAGGAAACTGACAGGGTTTCGGACCAAACAGAAGGCCTTCAACCAGTCCTCGGGCTGCGGAACGTGGCCATGCAGCAAGGCCTCGTCAGATGCTTCCGGCTGGACTAAGACCTCCAGAGGGGCAGAGGGATCTTCCAAGCTCTTGATGGCAGCTCGATGACACTGGGACATCGCATGGTTGCTCAACGCTGCTGCTTGACACTGGGATAGGCTGCTTATCTCGAAGCGCCCCCATTTGCAGTCCCATTTCCTCTGTTGCCGCCGGCAGCGAGGTGACCCCTCCTGCAAGATCCTTTCGCGCAAACGCGAACACAGGGCACATCCCATGCCCCACTTGCCGCTGGCACTGACTCGGGCTTGTAACCAGACCAGACCACTCGTACTTTCTGGGCGCCCTTCTTGATCATGACTGAGCCATGTGTCTCCTTCCAAGTCTGTGCGTGCCGCCCAAAGACGCACTGGGGGCACGTACGGTCGAAGCTCTTGTGACATTGACAGGTGCTCCCTGTAGATGAGCGGGGCTTGCGACCCTTCACGGTGACAATGGAAGTTTCTTTTGAAGACGTGGAACCATCATCTCCAGACTGCTTTCTTTTTCCAGAGTAAGCCGCCGCGAGCTTGCTACTACCAGGTTCCGCACCGCCATACACATCCGACAGCTTCCCCATAAATGCAAACCCTGTGTTGGAATGCTGATCCTGGTTACTGTATCCTGGCACAAGTGAAGACATCCTAGCTTAAGTTTGCTCGGACAATGCGACAGTGTCGAAGATACGTGCTTTAAGAGAGTTCAGACTGACAATTCAAAGCACTGTGCAAGAGCTGTCTGGGCCCCTGTGGCATGTATCCGCTGGCACGAGAATTATCACCTCTAACAATAGCGACTTGCAAGGCTTCTGTCGAAATGCAGTGTTCTGCAGCACACAACACAGACTTGGCAAGGGCGTGGGCGCGCCTGTTCGTGGACGTCGCGAATTTGCCCAAC